AAGTAATGCATGCAATTTCTAAATAGTGTTCTTGAAAAGAAGGGATGTGACCTTTCTCCCTTTCTTCTACCTGTTGGCTGAAATTATAATATAACGACCGGAGTTCAAGTAGCCATTTTGGACCAGGAGGAAGTCACAACTTAAGGATAGCAGAGGAATACAGAACAACAACATAGAAAGAGCCTATTCCCTGTTGATCTTGGGTCTCTTTACAAAGCCTGGTCTGCTCCCCTCTGGATTTGATTTATATAAGAAAGAAATACATTAATAATATTTAGGCCACTGCTGTTTGAGGATTTTTGTTAAAACCAGCTAAACTGACTACTGAACTAATAAATATAGACTATCTTCATGATACTATAATAATGTATAATGTACTTTAGAACAACTTATACAGATTTGCACTATTATATATTTAATATATGTGAAACTTTAGGACACATAACTCCAGGCACCTGTCAGAAGTATATGAAACCAAACTCGCTACCACCCCTTGAGGATTAAATAAAATTTTCATAGCCTATGCCTCACTTGGAAACATATTTTATAAACCAAGTAACATCTGACTGAAATATATAAAGTTAACAAGTTTTCTTAAGGGGGTAAATTCTCACATAAAATTCGTCTAGTTTAAGATGACAAATTAAACACTTTGATTTATCTCCATTATCTCCCTCAACCCCACTAATGATGGAAGAGAGTCCTTAAAATATAAGCCCACAGAGGAATAACAATGAAAGAAGGAATGAAGTCACAAAATTGTGTAAACTGGAAAGCAGACGAACAAGCAATAAGACTGGAAAAAGCTGAATCTTAAATAGGCAATGGGAATAGCTAAGAAACAACTTAATTTGCTTCAGAAAAATTGACATCATAAAGCACTCCGGAAGTGAAGAGGCGAACATAAAGCTATTCTTGGCTAGGCGTGGTGGCTCATGGCTATAATCCCAGCACTTTGGGAGGCCGAGGCAGGTGTATCACGAGGTGAGGAGTTCGAGACCAGCCTGGCCAACATAGAGAAACCTGTCTCTACTAAAAATACAAAAATTAGCACGGCATGGTGGCACACCATGTAGTCCCAGCGCATAGTCCCAGCTACTCAGAAGAGTGAGGTGGGAGAATCACTTGAACCCGGGAGGTGGAAGTTGTGGTAAGCCAAAATTACACCACTGCATGCCAGCCTGAGCAACAGAGTGAGACTCCATCTCAAAAAAAAAAAAAGCTATTCTTTCCTCAATTTCATGCAGCTAGACAACTGCCCCTCCCCAATCTCAGGAGAAGATAACATGTTTATTCTCTGGAGAGGGTAAAGTATGGGGAATTATGACTGCAGGAACCCAGGCACAACTACAATAGAAGTTACCATAGTAAACATAGGGAAATTAAATGAAAGTTTGTTCTCCTGTTGTATTCCACTCTCAGAATGTTGGCAGCCAGATTTGTATGTTCTAAACAGGAGTCATGTGATTCTTTTGGAGGAAATATGACCAACCCAAGATAATAAACCTAAAAATTATGATACTATGAATAGACAAGGAAAATATGTGGGAAAAAAATTCCTAATATGAAAGTCAACTGACAAAACAAGTGAAGATAAAAGAGAAGCCTGGAGGACATAGAGACTATGCACAGAGAAGAAAACTTTTAAAACACAAACAAGATCTTTTATCATACCTGAGAAAGACATGAGAAGTTATAATAACCATGAAAGAACAGGATGCTTAAGAAAAAAATCAAAGAACAAGACAGATCTTGGAAAATTTATAAAGGAATTGAAATTACCTCGAAGAAAAGAGAGAAAGAAATTTGATTTTTTTAATGATAAGAGAAGATGAAAAAGGAGGAGCAATTTAGGACATCCAATATCTGTTAACAGGAGTTCTAAAAAGAGACTGGAGGAAATCCATAAAGAAATCATCTAAGAGCTGGGTGTGGTGGCTTATGTCTATAATCTCAACACTTTGGGAGGCCAAGGCAGGAGGATCGCTTGAGGTCAGAAATTTAAGACCAGTCTGGGCAACATAGTGAGACCCCATCTATACTAAAAAAATTTTAAATTAGCTAGGTGTAGTGGCTCATGCCTGTAGTCCTAGCTACTTGGGAGGCTGAGGTGAGAGGATCCCTTGGACCCAGGAGTTTGAGGCTACAGTGAGCTGTGATCATGCTACTGTACTCCAGCCTGACAGAATGAGACCCTGTGAAAGAAAGAAAGAAAAAAGAAAGAGAAAGAGAGAGAAAGAAGAGAAGGGAAGAGAAGAGAGAGAAGAGAAGAGAAGAGAAGAGAAGAGAAGAGAAGAGAAGAGAAGAGAAGAGAAGAGAAGAGAAGAGAAGAGAAGAGAAGAGAAGGAAGGAAAGAAGGGAGAGAGAAGGGAGAGAGAAGAGAGTGGCTGGGCCTGTGGCTCATGTATGTAATCCTAGTACTTTGGGAGGCCAAGGTAGGTGGATGTCAGGAGTTTGAGACCAGCCTAACATGGTGAAACTCCATCTCTGCCAAAAATACAAAAATTAGCCAGGCGTGGTATGCATGTCTGTAATCTCAGCTACGTGGGAGGCTGAGGCAAGAGAATTGCTTGAACCTGGTAGGCAGAGGTTTCAGTGAGCTGAGATGAGATCAGGCCACTGCACTCCAGCCTTGGCAACAAGAGAGAAACCCCATCTCCTCAAAAAAAAAAAAAAAAAAAAAAAATGAAAGAACGAAAACTTACCACTGAAGAGCTTGAGTTTCCAGAAATGAAAAGACTCATGGAGTACCACAATGGATAAAAATAGACCTACATCTCTATAAAAGAAGATTATTATGAAATCTCAGAGTCCTGGGCCCCCAAAAAAGATTTTAACAGATCTTAGATTAAAAAGATAAAGATACAAAATTGACAATGAGAATGTCATCAGACTTCTCAGTAATGATATTGGAAGCTAGCAGGCAATGGAGAAATGCCCTCAAAATTATAAATTTTATTAATTAAATATGAAGATAAAATAATAAAATTCAGTCATTTAGGATCTCAAAAATTTATCAGAAAGCTGTTAGAAGATATGATCAATCAAAATAAGGAATGTGAATTAGGGAAAAAGAAAGACATAATATCCAGAAAACCAGGGGATCCAACACAACAGAGGCAAAGTTAATTCTTTGAAGCAGGGGTCAGCAAACTATATAGCCAATAGGCCAAATTCAGCCTGACACCTATTTTTATGTGGTCCAAGAATTAAGAATGTTTTTTACATTTTTAATTTATTTTTAGAAATAAAAATAAGAATATTCCATGACATCTAAAAACTATAGGAAATTAAAATTTCAGTGTTCATAAAGTTCACTGGATCACAGCCACACTTACTGATTTATGTATCATCTATGGCTGCTTTTGTGCTGTAACAGCAAAGTTAAACAAATGTACTTAAGGCTATATGGTCTAAGAAAACCTACTTTACAGAAATTTGCTTTACCCTAGAGGATGGTAAAGGAACATCCCAGAAATAATAGCTATGCAGCAAGTCTAAAGAACAACTGGCCCAAACTAGAACAAATCAGAAAGTCATAGGAGAGAAATCCCAAAAAATAAAATGGATGGAATCTCTGAAATGCTTCAAAGTACTAAAAGAAGATTTGACTAACTTGGGAAGGATTTATAAATAAATTGGTTATCAGTGCACAGAAAATTAAATGAAAAACAAGAGCACTATTAAATTGTTTTTAAAAAGTGGTACAGGAAGAAAAATTATTACAGTATACTACATGATTCAGCTGTGAATAGAATTTATATAGTCAATGTACATACTGAATATTAAGCAAAACAAAATTATAATAAAATAATTATGTAAGGAAAATGGGAAACTAGAAATGTACCAGGTAGTAATGAGAACACTGGTGTCAACAAGATTAAATGAAAGATAAATTCTTAGTTTTGTACAGTCAAGAGGTATGCCGAAAAACAAAATGTCAAGCAGCAGCAGCTTAAGATTTAGTGGTATGTAGCCAAATACAAAGAGAAAGAGCTCGAAGAGTTAAAAGTGCTTTCTTTAGTTACTGGGATATGGGGCAATGGTAGAAGAAAGGAGAAATAGGACAGACCTGCTATTTATCAAAGTAAGGTCTGTAGACAATTTAATTTTTTTAACTATGTGTATATATAAATTTGAAGTAAATAAAAACTAAATTTGATATTAGCCCCCCCAAATGAAGAATTCTCATATAGATTTCTGATTGTTTGGCATACTTTACCAGGTAAGTTTTTCAAGTAACATTTATAAACACTCCTGATTTGAGAATTTTAAACTGTTTAAGAAATAAAGATCTTATTTTACACACGAACATGCATTTAGTAAGTAACAGTGAAGGGATTTTTTTAAAACATTATTTTTTAAGTACTTAAAATTCCTTTATTTTGTTCTACTCTGTTTAGATCATTACTACAGAAAAGAACTTCTCTAAATACTAACCACTTCAACTTCATTAGATCACCTAAAACAATTTAAAAGATTTAATGGAAGAGTGTTTATATTATGGAAGACAATTAGGTAAGAGAGTTAATGTAAGAGAATAAGCTGTCTTGTTAAGCAGGTCATTCAAAGAAAGGCATGTACTAAGTACTTCTGTGTTTTAGCTAAAAAATATAAACAAATATGAAATGAACACATTAATGTTACAGTTACAAATAAATAACAATAAAAATATAGTTTCAATTGGACATCCAGTACATTCCCAAATTTGTTTTTCAGTATTATCTTTCAAAGTTGGTCAAACATGGCACACATTTTGTTAATGTCCTAGATTTTTACATGAATTGTATACAGGGTTTTTATTTAATTTATTTTTCACATTTATTTTACACTGATATTTGATAACCAATTTTAAATTGGCTTAATTAGAAATTACCTTAGTATTCCTGTTTTTCAGTTTTGATACTCTTCATCCAAATGATGATTGGTTTGTAGCAATTTGCATTTTAGCCAGAGAAATGGTTTACAAACTATGCTTGTTTAAATCCATTCTGCTAAAGAGAAAAAAAATGTGCTATGTAGTTTAATATTAACAGTATTTTTAAATTGTGCCTTAAATTCATTTATGAAACATATTTGAAAAATCAGAAGGGCTAAGTGTATTTACCTGCACTCCTAATTAGACTATAATGGCTTCTTCTAAGAAGACTACATGTATTCTCCCTGTTTTTCTTTTTTTTGAGATGCAGTTTTGCTCTTGTTACCCAGGCTGTGCAATGGCGCGATCTCGGCTCACCGCAACCTCCACCTCCGGGGTTCAGGCAATTCTCCTGCCTCAGCTTCCTGAGTAGCTGGGATTACAGGCACGCAACACCGTGCCCAGCTAATTTTTTGTATTTTTAGTAGAGACTGGGTTTCACCATGTTGACCAGGATAGTCTGTATCTCTTGACCTCATGATCCACCTGCCTCGACCTCCCAAAGTTCTGGAGTTACAGGCCTGAGCCACTGCGCCCGGCCCATTCTCCCTGTTCTTAATGGAATGTAGCAACTGTTTCTTTAAATCACCCTCACAAGAGCATTATGCAATTTTATCTGTCTATATTCTATTTCTACCTTATATTGTTGTTATATTGGAGCTATACAGGAGTCTTTTCTATCATTGCAAAAGCCAGATAAAATAGTTTACTATATCAAGTAGGGAATTATATATAAAAATTGTCTGTTGCTGTCTATAGATTATGTCTGTAAACGTTAAAAGCATTTTTTCCCTTTTAGAAAGAACAATCCCAATGCCTTCTTTGCCTCACATATAAATTATCTTTTAAGGGACCAGGTGCAATGGGCAAAGAGTTGGCTGTCTTCCCAACCCAGCTTTGCATTTTTATTTCTAAATGTACTTGTAGAGCTAGGAGTCACAGAAATGCAGAATTTAGAGTTTAAAGCTAAGTCAAGAATTACTTTCCTGCAACTTTTGCCTTCGGGGAGAGAAAGGGTGGGGGAATGGCAATTTGAGAGAAGTTATCTGAATTGAGATGAATTTAATTGCTTTACCTGTTAATCTCCCTGCCTACACAGGTGGCTGTGAGAGTCCTCTCTATCTCCACAGATCCATGTCAGGGTAAACATTAGAGGAACCAAGAATTTGAAAGTCTGGTCCAGGTAGTTCTCCAGCTCTGTTCCAGATGCAGGATGAACACAAGTCTGTTGGAAGCATTTGTGTGTGTGACATTATTAGACAATTAATATTCGGCAGAACACCAGTGCCTACTCCTCCCAAACAAGTTTGGAGTTAGTCCTTGAAAGCGTAGGTTCACAATGGTATGGGACTTTTTGTAGAGTTGATTGAGAGTCCACAGTATTTATTTATTGATATAATTTTGAACTCTGTGAGGCTTGCTCCAGAGTACTCATGGGAGGACAAGAAATTTCTAACTAGGAAATGACTAGCAGGGAGGTTGCCTTGCGATATTGTTCAGAGAAAGTAAATATTATCCTTCATCTTGGTTTCTACATTTGCTACCATTATCCCTTTATATTCCTATGCCATTATGCTATAGTCAAATGAGAATATTCTTTCTATATTTTGCTCTATTTAAGAAAGGCAGTGCAATCACATGCATTTCTAATGAACTAAGCTCCTTAACTTCTGAAGTGATTTTCAGGAAATCTCTTAGAACATGATTATCTTAGACACCAGTCAAGTTGGAAGTTGAGGAGAGACACAGAGCCTTTGCATTTTCTGTTCCCTGACCTAGAATGCTCTTCATATGGCCAGCTTCTCATCCTTCAGATCTTGGTTTAAATGTCAGTTTCTCAAGATCTTTCCTTACCACCCTTTCTAAAGCAGGTTCCCTAAACCTCCATTCCCAGTTATTGTCCATGACAGCACTTTATTTCTCTCTTTCATAAAATTACTACACAATTATTATAATTGTGCACTTCTTTTCTTCTCTCTCCCCCAGAAGAATGGAAGCTTCTTGAGGTATTATATTTCCAGGACTTAACAAGTATTTGGCACACATTCTATCTACAGTATATATACAGTATACCCAAAAAAATATTTATGAATGAAGGAGTTCTGAAGATAACTGAGGAACTTCACCGAAACATTTAAAACATTTTATTTTTGATAAGTATATCAGTCAGGCTCTACTATATTATTCAGCAATAATAAACAACTCCAAAAATCTCAAGACTTAAAACAAAAAAGATTGTGTCTTGCTCACTTTTTATGTGAGCTGCAGCTTTGCCCCATTGGTCTTCATTTCTTGGTCCAGGCTGACACAGTGGACCCTATCTGGGACATACCCTGACTCATCTCATTCTCATGGGAAGAGGGAAAAGAACAAGGACTGTAGAAAATATACAGTGTGTTTTAAACTAGGATCTGAAGTACAGCACTTCTGCTCATAAAATGTTATCTTACAATAGAAATTTCTAGGAAAATACTACAATCAGCCATAATAGGATATCGTTCAGAAACTGTTACTAAAATCTGTAGCCGTTTATATTTATGTATATTGTATGGTTAATATTTATATCTGTAGTTTACTTTGTTTATATTTGTGTATATTGGTCTTTATTCCTGAGTTTCTTGAATGACAGAGTCATATCAGAAATTCTGTATATCTTAAAACTTAAGACTGGTAGGTGAACAGTATTTGTATTCTGTTTCCTTGGTTAATTATGTCTTTGCAAGTCACTGGCCTGAGTATTTTGAAGGTATTTACATGTCTTCATCTGTACAATAGAAAGTCAAGGGTCTCAAACTTCTGAGTGGCTTTAGTTCTGCCAGTATCGAAGGAAGTTGGCATAGATAAAAGTTCTTCCATGGTCAGAGTAAACGACTGAAATAGATAAAGAGAGGCTATATTTGGCCTAAATCCTTAGGGTGACATTTAAGTAATAAACTTTATCCTATGAACAATGCCTTAACACAAAATTAATTAGTCAGTATAAACTACCTATGTGTTCAATTTTGACTGCTAACTTTGGTATCTGTGTACCTTTAATTTCCATACTTATAATAGATTCCTCTAATAGTTTTCAGCATTACATTGGTAATATTGTTGGTAATACCTATTTGAGATGAAAGTTTTGAACTATAATGACGGTAAAAAAGAAAATTAAACCAAAAACAATTCTCAATCAAGTACTTCTATGTTGAAAGTTTTTTTGTCTTGTGACCTTTCTCCAATCTTGTATCATATGGAATTATACTCTATAGAATATTGTGGATGGCATTTTTTACAAGGAATCTTTTAGAAACTATGTACAACATAAATCAACATTGCAAGACTTAATTTTAGAAAACTGAGGATATATGCATGGATGGGTAAATAAAATAATACGTGAGCTCTATTTTGCCCTGTGAGATATATCAATCATAGCACCAGAAGAAGTGGGTACAGAATTTAAGATCAAAGTCTCTCCAGTTCCACCAATAGCTCCTATGAACAAAAGCCAGAGTATGATTACCATCTCACTGAGAATTTCCCTCTGTTTACTCTGTCTTTTTCCTAGATATTATTCTTAGTTGCCTTACCGTTTCCTTTTAAATCTTATTTTTTCAAATTTTTAGTCATTTTTATTATCCAGTACTGAGCCTGGGCAAAGTCTTCAGTTTTGACATAAAGGTTTATATTAGACAACAAAAGTATGTGTCCAGCATATAAACAAAAATATGCTCCTTGTCACAAGGATTTTATATTAAAAGTAAAGAAATTTCTCAACTTTCACACATACAGATTTGTGTAAATCCTATGGGAACTCCAAAGAGGAACCATCTTATTAAGTATCATTTTTCTCAGCATTTAAAACATACAAGGGAAGAAAGCAACAATTTAGCCCTTTGTGCAAAAGAAACAGCATCGAGTTCATTTTCTGTTCCTCTTCCTTAGAGACAACTACATCCCTTTCTGATCATTTTCATACCTGCTATGGTTCAGTCAACTTCTCTAACAGTTGTGGAATGTGAAACATCTATATAAGATTGTGGAAGACCTTTTTTTAATTTCTGCAGTCACTACTAGATGCAAACAAGGTGATATGTCCCTGCATGCTCGTATTGCTAAACTGTGAGCAAAGAAAGGAAAAAGACTGATTTAGATAATACATTTAAGATGCTTGTTAAGTGAAATGTCAAGTAGATTCATGTCTTGCCTTGTTGATCACCAGCCAATCAATGACTCTTGAACCTGGAATGACCAGGTCAACCTGCTACCACTGCTACCCGTGAGAGAGAGACTGCATAGATCATCTCTCAGAATGACAATTACTATGTAGAGCTATAGTAATTCTGCAAGCCCTGGTCATTGTCTTGCTTAGCAAGAGGCTTCCTATGCTCTCACAGCTAAATACCAGCTCACTCAGATCCCGACACAGGGAAACAAAAAGGCCTTTGGGATATCAACTCCCTGGTGACCCAGGTCTGATCAAAATTGAGTTTCATTCTGCTTAGAACACGTTTCTGTGGGCTTTTTTTTTTTTTAAGGATTATGGTAAATGAAGCCTTTGAGTGAGCTGTGTTCTTTCTTTTGCATATAAATGGATATGAATATGAATACTGTCAATAGATAGACATCTGCCATCTTACCACTGCCACCCATCCCAGTGACTTTTTGTTGTTGTTGGTTACTCAGACTAAAATGTCATCATAAGATATAAATCCATCATATTTCTGTTTGGGATCAATACTACATATTTACTGTTATTTGTCATCCTTTCATATGTGTACTTGTTGTAGCCAGTAATCCTTAAATTTGCTCTGGAGATTTGGAGATTTCATCAACTCCCCAAGATCAAAAGCCTTAAGATTTTTGTTTGCATTTATATGCAAAGCTTACAAAGTTCTCAACGGAGAAACAGTGGTAAGATCATTCTTCAAACCCTTGTTAATTGTTAACTGTCAAATCCTGATGGTGAAACCTCAGAGGTTTGTTTTAACAGGGGGAAAAAACATGATGTTAATTTTAAGGTTTCTCAAACTCAGTGGTGAACACTAACAATATTTTTTCTCATCAGCTCACTTAAAATTTAAGTATAATTGTTAGTCAAAGCTAAAAGGCATACAAAAACATCAACTTGTTTTCTCTCTTTCAAAGACAGATGTAGAGTCTGCCTGGAGGATCATAATTAAGGCAAACTAAGTGGGGAAACTGGTATTTTAGGCACATTATTTTAAATCACTCAAGTCCCTAAAGAAATTCTCAGTAACAGCTGTTTCTTTGATCATCCTAATACCAATGAAAAATAATATGTAAGATTAGACTGCTGTATATCCCTAAAATTAGCAATGAGCTGAAAGATATATACATCACATTTTTAAATCGCCTGTCTTACTTCAGAATGATTTAATTAACAATGAAACCATCCGAAAAGACAATTCTAAATCATTTCAATAAAGAGACCAACTATTCAGCACGTAAGATCACAAGTTCATTATAAAGTGTGTTTATTAATATATTACTTTACATATATAATTGTATTTCTATAAAGTAAAACTGAATCAATCATTTACAAAACAATAAAAATCAGCCAGGCACAGTGGCTCACACCTGTAATCCCAACATTTGAGAGGCTGAGGCAGGCAGATCATGAGGTCAGAAGTTCAAGACCAGCCTGGCCAATATGGTGAAACTCTGTCTCTACTAAAAATACAAAAATTAGCCAGGTGTGGTGGCATGTGCCTGTAGTCCCAGCTACTCGGGAGGCTGAGGCAGGAAAATCACTTGAACTCAGGAGACAGAGGTTGCAGTTAGCCGAGATCACACCACTGCACTGCAGCCTGGGTGACAGGGCAAGACTCCATCTCAAAAAAAAAAATCACTTTAACTGGCTTTTATAAATAATTTTTTAAAACCTCATTTGTATGATAAAATATGAGAATTATTATATGAACACCTCTCAAACCCAGATTTTTTAATAGTCTAGTATTAGAGTTCGCATATAATCTATATCCCCACTAATGAATCTAGTTGTTGATAACATTCTCTGCACATATAGGCTTCAGAACTGGTAAGATTTTCACAGTAACTGACCATCTTCCACCTTAAAATATTCAGTAATAATGATGGCTCTACCTTTTTTAAATCTCTAGATCAAGCTATTTAAAATATGAATACTATTAAAACAGAAAATCATACAAATAATTTTTTTAAAAAAAGGAAAGCCTTTTTTGTTTTTTGTTTAGAAAAGTATATCCAGAGGCCAGGTGCAGTGGCTCATACCTGTAATCCCAGAACTTTGGGAGGCTGAGGCAGGCAGATCATGAGGTCAGCAGCCTGACTAACATGGTGAAACCCTGTCTCTACTAAAAATACCAAAAAAAAATTAAAAAATTAGCCAGGCATGGTGGTATACAACTGTAATCTCAGCTACTCAGGAGGTTGAAGCAGGAGAATCGCTTGAATTCAGTAGGTGGAGATTGCAGTGAGCTGAGATCGTGCCACTACCCTCCAGCCTAGGTGACAGAGTGAGACTCCATCTCAAAAAAATTAAAAAAAAAAAAAAAAGATGCTATTGAAAACTCTCAAGCCTATTTCCTTAGCTCAACTTTACTATTTTAACCCTCTGTAGCATGAAAAGGTACAGAAAAGACATACACAGACACTGAAAGGGCTAATCATTTTACTCTAATTGCTTTTTTTTTTTAGAATTTGCTGTAACCCACATATACTTGTCTCCGAGAAAAGGTAACTACTGTGATTTACATTTTAACAGTGATCATAAGAAAATATTTTTCAGTATTTTGGATTCTTGAGGGCTAATCAGGTACTAAATTAGGTACTGGTGGTCACTAGGGGCAGAAATCCGAAGACCCTCTTCTCTGTATCGCAATTGTTCAGTGATACTTTAGGTGCACAGCATAATCCTGCATAAGATCTGAATCCCTCAAGTTAGAATAAATTAAGTGCAAGTAGTTTCAGCACTAACTGAATTTTAATGTTATAGTCTTTGAAAATCAATTGTTAATACAGAGCTACTACCAATCATATGAATACTTTAATTACCAGAACACTCTATTTCCCAACTGCCTCTTAAAGTTGATGTTAGTAATAAAATGCTCCTTAGAAGTTTTGTGGCTGGGCACCATGGCTCACATCTGTAATTACAGCACTTTGGGAGGCTGAGGCAGAAGGATGGCTTGAGTCCAAGAGTTTGAGACCAGCCTGGGCAACAACACACAGAGACCCCCATCTCTACAAAAGTTGAAAAATCAGCCAGGCATGGTGGCACATGCACCCATGATCCCAGCTAGTTGGTAGGCTGAGGTGAGAAGATCACTTGACCACAGGAGATGGGGGCTGCAGAGAGCCATGACTGTGCCACTGCACTCCAGCCTGGGGAAACAGAGTAAGATTCTGTCTCAGAAAAAAACAAAACAAAACCAAAAGGTTAGTAGTTGATACTCCACTAAAATCTCTTTTTCCACCATCATTTTAGTGTATTTCTTGAGATGCTGCTTTTAATTGAGATTATCACTCTTTTTATACTGCAATATATAATATACAGGATTCTTCTTTGATTAGTCATAGGAGTTACCAGAGCCTTTTATAAAGCTCCTGATTGCAAAGATTCCACTAGTATTAAATATCAAGCACACCAAAGTTTGGTTCACAGACATGCACAAAAAAGTAAGCAAAGTAATTACTTTTACTATCCTAAAATAACAAAGAACAAAACAAATAGATTTTCCTTTGGTTTACCCTTGGTATCCTAGCTCTCTATTTTGACTGAATCCTTCAGCACATTAAAAGTGAAGACAAAGTTTGGAGCTAAGAGCTGATGAGATTAAATCAAAGATGTTTTTTCTCCCTAAGACCTCCTTTGAAAACAATGTTAAATT